GTATGTAGGACATTTTAATAGTGAGATGGTTCACAATTACATTTAAAAGCAATCTCAGCAATAAAGCAACTGCCTTTTTTAAAAATAATGTGAGCAATGTATCTTACGCACTTTCCTGAGATAATTATATATTTGAAGAATTTCTTTCAGAAAGCAAATTCAATGCTTTGCAGAGGTTTTATGGAATTATCAAGAGTTTGACTAGTACCCGGCCTGGTAAAAAACAGAAAGTTGGCAGTGGTGTTAACTACTGTCTTCTATGATCTTATTGATGTATTGACTTGAAAGCGTTGATGAGACAGGGACTGGCAGGGTGGCTCAGTGGGAAAAGTGCTGGTGGCATGAGCCTGGAAAGGTGAGTTTGACCTACAGATTCCACAGTGAAGGGGAGAACAGACTCTCCAAAGCTGTCCTGTGATTTCTACCTGGACAGCATGTCACATGTATGCACAGACTCCTCCTACACATACAAAACAATGACAAATAAAAAAGAAATTAAAGGCAAGTCTGAGACTCTGAAATGCTTCACCTAAAACCTGAGCATGCAGTACCAGTTTTATTAAACTGAAGACTCATTGGTTTTTCTATAATATCTATGTTTGGTATCTATGACACTTCCAATGGGGAACTAAATTATTTCTTTACTAAATGATCTTTTGCTTTTCTGGAAACTATACAGTGTCTAACAGTGTCTAGCTGCTTAAGACTAAATTGCCGAATATAGATTTTATTATGAAAGTGCTTCAGACACTTTTATTATACTTACTGCTATTGTTAGTATTTTTGGCACTCTTGTTAGAGGTGTTGACTATCCAAATGCTTATCTTAGCATATTTTATTTACCATACTAAAAGTTAAAGTGCAATGGGAGAAAATTGATAAGCTTAAAATATATGATTTCTTTGATAATTTGATATTTTTATTTACCACTCTTATTCATAATCAGACTAGGTACTTCACATCTTTTCATGTTGAGATTGACTGTTCCTCTAGCCTGATAATGTAACCATGTGATTGGTGAAGAAACATATTTAAATAGGAGGCTTTGGAGCAATCTTCCTGAAAACATGACACAGAATGCGTATTTCTGTCTTTCCTTTTCTAATTTTCACAGTAGCATTACAGTGATAATTAAAAACATTCACTGTAAAGAACTTTATTTTCTCTTTTATAGGCTACTGTTTATAGAATTTTGTCTAATATCAACAACTTAGAAGATACAATGAAGTCATGATGAAGAAAATTAAATGTTACCCATAATTTTGATATGGCTCAGAAGTAGTCGCAATTAATATATTGCATAATTAATTACCATCTTCATTATAGCATGTATATATCCTATATTTATGAAGTCAAGATAAGGCAAATATAATTTTAAACTCATTTTATTTTTTATGATGGCTATTTCCTAAACTTTATTTTATCAAATAACTTTAATAACTATTTCATTGATTAGATGAAACATGAACACAATTTCTGGACCTTATATTATTTTTAACTTGCATTTATTATATAAGTTATGCTTGTAATGATATGTTTTTACTGTTATATGCATGGTCTTTGCAATTGGCACAGAAGAGAGAGAGAGGTGAGTTATAAATTTGTCACAGCTTGAAGTAGAATAGAATGCAGTCGGGGATAAGAAATAGTAAAGGCTACAGGTTGCAACTAATTGAGACTTTTAAATGTAATATTGACCACAGAAACACAGAAGTGAGTGATCTGACAGCATAATATATTATTATATTTTTTGGAAGTATGCTGAATACAAGACCCACAGAGTATATTTAAACTTCATCTATTTTACAACTTCACTCTGGTCAAGTAGCTTTATAATTTCTAATAAGTAGTGCATCTCACTCCTTCAAAGATGATTAGTAATCAGAACAGAATATGCAAATAAAAAAGTAAAATAACATATGCAAAGCAAATGAGGCATCTATAGTAAATGAGATAATTAGCAAAAACTGTGTCTGCAAATAGCAAATGCTTATAAATGTTAGACATACATCACAGAAATAGTCATCCAAAAGACAGATAATTATCTGACACACAGTTGTCCATACTCTCAAACTGAAAGCTGCACGTATATGTATGTATAATATACACACTTATTCATAGTTATATATGGTCATATGTACCATTTACAAAAAGAGAAAGAACATACAAAGGTGGCACCATGATACAAAGATTATAATCAAGCAAAAGATGGTTAAAATTATGAAGGAAATAATGGAAGAAATAATTTAATTAATTAATATATAAATAAAAAGATATAATGGAAGATGAGACTAAACATGGATAGTAGAACTACAAAAACTCAGAATAAGCACAAATAAAATAATGTCATGGGTACACACATGTGCATTAAACTGTAACTCCAGAAAAAGAGAACAGAAGAGAATAATTATAAAAATATGTGAATATTTTTTTTCCTTTTATGGGGGGGTGGTTTTTGAGACAGGGTTTCTCTGTGGCTTTGGAGGCTGTCCTGGAACTAGCTCTTGTAGACCAGGCTGGTCTCTAACTCACAGAGATCCGCCTGCCTCTGCCTCCCTAGTGCTGGGATTAAAGGTGGGTGCCACCACTGCCCAGCCATGTTTTTTCTTAAAAAGAGAAAGTAACTGAATTTTCAAATCAAAACGACATTAGTGCCACAGGACGAACTGAGATCTAATGACTAATGCCAAATTGCATCTTAAAAAATTTATTAAGCTAAGAGAATAATTTAAAAGATGATAATGTTATCTTGGATGCTTTTTAAAAACCAGGGGAATAAATACGATCTCTTCTCAGTGAGAAACAGCAAATGTAGCAACATCTATGGTATTTTGAGAAAACAAAGTATGACCAATGATGGGGAAGTCCTGTGTATATGTCAATAAAGCACTGTTGGCTAATAGGGAAGACAGATAGGTGGGACTACGAGTCTAGGAGGATTCTGGGAAATGTAGTGAACTGAGCCATGGCCATGTGTTTCCCGGGAAGAGGGGATGCAAGTCTGTGTTCTTGGAAAGATAAGTCCAATATATATTGGTAATTATGGGTCAATAATTAAGTCAGACCTAGTCAATGAGAAACAATAGCAAATGGCCAACAGCTTCATAATTAATATAGTGTCTGTGTGTTATTTGGGGGTTCAGACAGCTCGGCAGAGCCCAAGCTGCTGGTGGGAAAACTATTGTTACATGACCAAAGAATCAGAATTCTAGCTAAATGACATTTCAGGTTTAAGCATTACAGAGAAACTATGGCCAAGGATGTAGAAACTTAGAACAACTGGGTTACTAATATTGAAAAGGAGGAAAGACACTTTTATTGAGAGAATTCAGCCAGCCTAAAGATGGATGAAAATCAACATTTAAGAAAGGGATGTCTTGTGGCCAATAAACTGGTAAAGAATTTTAGGAACTATTTATAAGTTTTTAAATTTGGCACTGTAAAATCAATGCTCCACTTATCACTCCCATGAGATAGAAACTTCCTTAGGTGAGCCAAACCCTGGTTCCCACAGGCCAGCAGGAGACACTAATGTTGTGTTCCCTTGTAGAAAACAACAAAGCTGTAGACTGATGTTATACAAAACATGCCTTAGGGAAGTATATGGAAATTCAAATGCTTTGTGGTGAACATCTGAATTTCATTTTTTAAAATTTATTTTTAATTTTAATTGTGTGTGTGTGTGTGTGTGTGTGTGTGTGAGTGTGCAGGTGATACAGAGCCCAGAGAATACATCCCATGTCCTAGAGCTGGAGATGGAGGAGGTTATGAACCACAGATACTGGTGATGGGAACCAAACAGCTGCCCCAACATCTGAATAAACCCTGAGTTTCATTTAATTAGTTTATCATTGAAATGCAGATAAAATCTATCTAATTCAGCCAGACCATTCACTAGTGTCATTTATTTTGTTTTCACACTAAATTTCAGTTATCAGGATCCTCTCCTCTCCAGGCACTGATTGCCACATCTTAGCAAGCATTGCCGAGTAAGAACCGTACCTTTGTCAGCTTCTTCTGAAAACCTGCTGACCTCACCTAGACCCTTTTCCTGCCTGGTCACACTGCCCATGTTCTCTTGCTCATCTGGCCTCCTCCTAAAATTTTCTGTCAAGTTTAGTTATGTTTGTGTTAGCTTCTGAGACCTGCTGAACAAGGTACAATAAACTGAGTTGCTTAAACCAACAGCAATTTGTTCTTTCAACTGTAGACTACAGACCAGGAGTCTAAAATCAAGGTTAACCTTATAGCATCTGGTAATGGCTCTCAACTTTTCCTTTCTTTAGTTTGTAGCTACATCACTCTAGTCTCTGTTTCCATCTTTACAAGGTATTCTGTATGGACACCAGTTACACTTAATTAAATGGTCTTTCTACTCCCATGTGACCTCATCTTAACTGCTTACAATCACTCTATTCCTAAGTAAGGTCACATTCTGAATATGGGTCCCAGGACTTCAGCATATCTCTTGAAGCTATGTAGTCAACCCATAGCACTAAGTCATATCCTGTAAAAGAGAAGTTTCCTTTTTCCATTTGAATTTTCTAAAGAGCTCTGAGAATAAAAATTTTCCCTATTAAAAAACAACAGAATAAAAGATAATATTCTTTGATCATTTCATAATGTTCACTATATATTGTTATTATATTCATCCCCACTCTGCTTCATAACTCCTTTCAGACCCATCCTCCATTCTCACTCTCCCTTCCCCTCTATCCCTACCCCTCCCCACCCTCATCGCCAACTGAGTTCAATTTGTGATGCCCACATATTCATAGATGTGAAGCCATCAACTGGAGCTTAGTTAACCTATAAGGAGCTACACCACACCTGTAGGAGTAGAGGCTAAGTGAGCCTGAAGTCTCTCCATGCTGGAATGTTTCCTGGATTGGTCTTGTACAGGTTTTATGTAGATAACCACAGGTGCCGTCAGTCCATGAGCTTTGGGCTTGTCCTGGAGACACTCCCACTCTATCGCTAGTTCTTATAGTCTTTCTGCCTGCTCTTCTGAGTTGGTCCCCTGCTTGGGGGAAGGGATGTGATACAGATGTATACAGATGTATTGTTCAGAACTCCATCCACTGATACTTACTCGTTAGACTTTTACCAGTTGTGGGTTTCTGCATTTGCCACTATCTACTTCACAAAGAATTTTCTCTGAAAAGGTTTGAGAGTGTAACTGTTCTATGGGTATAGAGATACATATTTAGAGGATAATTTGATACTTTGTCCATTTAACAAGATAATGGTAATAGGTACATATGACATATGATGTATGGGATCCCCAACCATTGGTTCTTGGCCATATGTACACAGTCAAGCATGTGCTTCCTAGCCAAGCATGTGTTTCCTCCTATGAAATGGGCTTTCATTCAGATCATTGTTGGTTACCAAATAACACCCATACCACTATTGTACCCAGGGGCATATCTTGCCATGCTGGTCATTATTTTAGCTTACAGGGTTCAAAGGTTGGTAATTTTCTGGTATTATGAAAGCTAACCGTCGGGGAGGAAGCTTTCTTGTCAGCACCAACTTGATTTCTCTATGTCCTATGAAGGAAGTATGTGGTGTCAAGTTCTTTAGATATTATGCAATGATGTTAACTAGTGGTTATTTCTTGAGGCAAGTGGCCTATGTATAATACATGGTATCAGGAATAGTATATCTAGATTTCCATCCTCTGTGACATTATAATGTTATATTCCGTTTCTGTAATCTGTTTTATTCTGTATATCACTAAGATGAATTTACCATGCATTACTTTGTGTGTAGTGATGTGCCAGACATGGTCCAAGTACATACGAGATCCTAGAAATAAATCCTGTGGTCCATAAATTAAAGAACAATCATATGCTTAAATCAGATAAAAAGGCAGTTGTTGGTGGCAAGGCCAGACAATGTTGAACCCCTAAACTTGTGATAGACGTTTTGGAATTACCTTGAAAGTAGAAGAGAGCTGAGACATGACTAAATTTCTATATCAAATTGTAAATCCTTGGTTCTGAAGGAGAAAATAATCTAGTGAGATTAGAGCATCATATTTAGGATGTTGTGAAATCAAAAATGCCTGAGAAATAGTGGGAAATCAGATGTGGGTATTAATAACAGAGCTGGAGAATTGTGTGTGTGAGCAGTTTTTCTCACACGATAGCAGCAGGGTTCATGCAACATGGGTACAGTCTAGAGAAGGAGGGGGTGTGTGGGGAGGGAGAAAAATATGCCAAGTGGCACTCCAGGACCTTCTAAACATATCATGGAGACAGAGTAAACTGTGGCAGGAAAGTTATGTAACTTTTTTTGTTGTCATTCTCTCATACCAACTGCTTACCATATGTCATGCCTTGTCATTGTTTGCCAGATTTCACCTTTTTATAGAATTAAGACCCTCTATCACCTGTTTAAAAAGGTAATGAAAAAGAGAGGAAAGGATTTAAAAATATCCCATTGTAGTGGCATCTTGCCTTGGCAGTGAACTTGTGGTGGTGGCCACACCCTTTGGTCATGGTCTGAGGTGCAGATGTGACCCATTATAAGATAGAGGAGGGACTGGCTCTCACTCTCTTGGGTTGCAGAGAGCAACCCAATTAATAAAGTAATTAAAACAAAAATATTCATTGAGTAAACACATGACTATTTTATTTCACCTGTTTGAATATTTTGATAGGGTATTTTTCAACACAATTTTTTAAAGTGTCTAAAGTATTAGTCCATAATAAACTGAAGACATAAGTGCAAAAATTAGAAAAATTTCTAATGAGTCATATATCTTAGCCAGTTCAGTTTATTGTAACAAAATATTGTAGACCAAGTAACATACATAACAGAATTTTATTTCTCATTGTTCTGGAGGTTACAAATCAGTGGTTAGGAATCTGATGCAGTCCACTTCTGAAGAGTCTTTGTCAATTTTCAGATCGTTTCTGACAGGGTGAGCGCATTCTCTGAGCCCCTTTTATATAAATATTAATTTCATTCATACAAGCCCTACTGTTATTACCCAATCACTTACCAGAGGACACACCTCCTATTATTATCACAGTACAGTTTAGATATTAACATTTATATGAGGGGAGGGGACACTGACATTCAGTTCATCACAGATTAAAACTTGTCACTACTATTATTTGATGGGGGAAGTCCGGACATTTGTTAATAAAGCACTGTTGAGCCAATAGGAATCTAGATAGGTGGGACTAGGAGTCCAGGAGGATTCTGGGAAGGAGAAACACAAGAGAGTCGACATGTGACGCCATGGGGTAGGAAGCCTGGAACTATTCTCCAGTAAGAGACATACTTAGATTAACAATTATGGGGTAATTACTTAAGTCAGAGCTAGCCAGTAAGAAACAAGCAAGGCCAACAGCTTCATAATGAATATAGCCTCCTGTGTGTTTATTTGGGACTGATGCGGCTCTAGAACCAGGCTGGCGGGAAGGCTTCTCTCAAAGAAAAAGGATTCTCTTTACAATTATTACATTAAGGTATTTTGTCATTATTGTCAATTGGAGCCAAACTAAACTATATATTTTCAGAGCTTACTTATTACACAGATTCATTGTCTACTCACTGATGTAGTTGGCATTCTGTGAACTTGTCTAGAGTTGCCCCAAGAGACTGATGATTTGCTATATGACACAAGAAATTGTTTTGAAGTTTAAGTCATGGAAAAATTTGAATTTTTGAGTTTTAAATTATAGAAAAAGTTTCTGCTAATACTATTCAGTAGTACAAAGCTTAATTAATATTAATTTTTAAGAATGAGCTTTAAAAATCATAGTGGTTTCTTGTTAGGGAAGGGTGAAGTGGGGCTTTTCCATGCATGTCTTAAACTTGGTAAGAAGCAGAGGGTGGCCTCAAACTTATGGTCCTTCAATTTCTGCCTCCCAAGGACTATAATTACAGACATACACTGTTGTAATTTTAAAAAGCTGAACATGAGAGAAAGAGACCAATGTGACAGAGTTTGAGTGGGTGGGATTTTTATTAGGGGGAAGTGAATGGGAAAAGGGGTGAGGGGAGAGAGGAGACCAGCCTCTAGGGACAGGAGAATCAGAAGAGAAAAGGGAGGCTTGGGGTGGGACAGAGAAAAATGCAGAGAAGAAGAAAGAGAGAGAGAAAGGGACAGAGAGAGACAGAAACAGAGACAGAGACAGACAGAGACAGAGAGAGAAACAGACAGACAGAAGGGTAGATAGAGAAAGAGAGAAAGATGGGAGGTGGGCAGGGTCTTTTTAAAAGGGAATGTAGTGGATGTGCACAGGCGGTACTCTTAGCGGCTGCAGTTGAGGGCTTATCTTCTCTGAACTCCAAGGGCAGACCAGTATAGATGCCTGAAAATTAACATATACCACCACGCCTGGTTATGATGTTTTTTTAACGAAACCCAAATTGTGCCCTGTGGAAGCTAGTTATATATTGAATAAGAGAAATTCAGACAAAACTGAGCAGAAACAAAACAGACTAATTATGTATCACATTGCTTCTGTTCATTGGATGGCCATAATTTGAACAATTTCATTGTTCTATAAACTGTAAACAAGAATAACTTGAAGAGTCTTCAGTGAGTGGGACAAATCTTCAGAACACTTAATAATTACTCAACTACATAGTCTGGTCCTTTGGAATGCTCTATTTGCCTATATTTTAGTAGTTTTCCCACTTGACTCAGAATACTGCTAGCATTCTGACAAGTATTAACTTCTGTTACATGATAAATGACACAATGGCTAGGATTAGCTAGGGGATAGTGATGATGCCCCATGTGTATGAAAACAGAAGTAATATTAGATTTTGACAGCATTTTTTTACTTAAAAGAACATATTTGAATTGATTTTTAGAATTATAGGCATTAATTTTGTTGAAAAGAGAATACAAAACTTTGAATATGTGACTTATGTGTCATATTTTGCTTTGTTCTTAATTGAGAGTCTGTATTTCTACAAAAATGGAAGGGAACAAAATATAGGAGAGCGACTCAGGGAAAAGAAAGAAAAGAGCTCTCATCTTAAAGAATTCCTGGTTTGATAGATAAGACAAAACTGTTAATTTTAAAAATTGCTTTATTTACTATTATGTGTTTTGGTAGTTTGTCTGCATATGTATTTGGGCACCATGTATATGCCTGGCACCTGGGGAGTGTAGTGATATTTTGTTTATAATATAACAAATAAAGCTTGCCTGAGATCAGAGTGTAGAGCGAGCCAGACTAGTTAGACATAGATTTCAGGCAGTGGTGGCACATACCTTAATCCAAGCACCCAGGAGGCAGAGGCAGTCGTCAAACTAATTACCAGGGAGGGGCATTTAATTTAAGGTAGTCTCTCCACTATTGTTTAGTTTGTCAGTGAGTGTCATCCTTGTAGATCTCTGGAAATCTCACTGGTGCAAGATATTTCCTCAAACCTATAATGACTCCCTCTATGATGGTGTCTCTCAACCTGCTCTCTTCTATTCTTTGCCCAACTCAACCTTCTGCTTCCCTATGTCTTTCTCTCTCCTCCTCATCTTCCTTCTCGTTTCCTGGTTCCCTCTCCCCCCATGCTCCCAATCTGCTCAGGAAATCTTTCCTCATCCCCCTTCTCTGGGGTACCATGCATATCTCTCTTAGGGTTCTTCCTGTTTCCCAGACTCTCTGGCAGTGGGATTGTAGGCTGGCATTCCCCCAATCCATGCCTAAAAACCATATATGAGTGAGTACATACCTTGTTTGTCTTTTGGTGACTGGGTTACTTCACTCATGATGGTTTCTTCTAGTTCCATCCATTTGCCTGCAAATTTTAAGATTCCATTGGTTTTTGATGCTGAATAGTACTCCATTGTGTAAATGTACCACTTTTTCTCTAGCCACTCTTCAGTTGATGGGAATCTAGGTTGCTTCCAAGTTCTGGATATTACAAACAATGTTGCTATGAACATAGTGGAACAGGCGTCCTTGTTGTATGAACGTGCATCTGTTAGGTATATGCCTAAGAGTGGAATTGCTGGTTCTTGTGGTAGACTGATTCCCATTTTCCTGACGAATCCCCATACTGATTTCCAAAGTGACTGTATGATTTGGCACTCCCACCAGCAGTGGATGAGTGTTCCCTTTTCTCCACATCCTCTCCAGCATAAGTTGTCATTGGTGTTTTTTATTTTAGTCATTCTGACAGGAGTAAGCTAGTATCTCAGAGTTGTTTTGATTTGCATTTCCCTGATGGCTAGGGATGCTGAGCACTTTCTTAAGTGTGTTTCAGCCATTTTAGACTCCTGTATTGAGAATTCTCTATTTAGTTCTGTATCCCCCATTTTAATTGGGTCCTTTGATGTTTTGGAGACTTGCTTCTTGAGTTCTTTGTAAATTTTGGAGATCAGCCCTCTGTCAGATATGGGGTTGGTGAATATCCTTTCTCATTCTTTGGGCTGCCGTTTTGCTTTGTTGACAGTGTCCTTTGCCTTACAGAAGGTTCTCAGTTTCAGGAAGTCCCATTTATTAATTGTTGTTCTCAGTGTGTGTACTCTGGTGTTATGTTCATGAAGTGGTCTCTACCAATTGGTTCAAGGGTACCTCCCACTTTCTATTCTAAGAAGTTTAGTGTGGCTGGATTTATGTTGAGGTCTTTGATAAGATGTGTACATGGCACTAGACATGGATCTATATGCATCCAGTAATGCTAGAATCATTTTTTGAAGATGCTTTCTTTCCTCCATTGTATAATTTCAGCTTCTTTGTCAAAGATCAGGTGTTCATACATTTATCAGTTTATATCAGGGTGTTCAATTTGATTCTATTGGTCTACCTGTCTATTTTTGTGCCAATACCAAGCTGTTTTCAGGACTATAGCTTTATAATGGAGCTTGAAGTCAGGGGTAGTGATACTTCCGGACATTGTATTGTTGAACAGGTTTGTTTTAGTTATCCCAGGTCTTTTGTTTTTCCACATGAAGTTGAGAATTGCTCTTTCCAGGTCTGCAAAGAATTGTGCTGGGATTTTAATGGTGACTACATTGAATCTGTAAATTGCTTTTGGTAAGATTGCCATTTTTATTATGTTGATCCTACCTATCCAAGAGCATGAAAGATCTTTCCATTTTCGGGTGTTTTCTTTAATTTCTTTCTTTAAAGTTTCAAAGTTCTTGTGATACCAGTCTTTCACTTGTTTGGTTTGCATTACCCCAAGGTATTTTATATTGCTTGTGGCAACTGTAAAGTGTGATATTTCTCTGATTTCTTTCTCAGTCTTTTGATGTCTGTATATAATAGGGCTACTGGTTTTCTTGAGTTGATCTTGTATCCTGCTACTTTGTTGAAGGTATTTATTAGCTGTAGGAGTTCCCTGGTAGAGATTTTAGGGTCACTTATGTAAACTATCATATCATCTGCAAATAGAGAAAGTTTGACCTCTTCCTTTCCAATTTGTATCCCTTTGATCTCCTTATGTTGTCTTATTGCTCTGGCTAGAACCTCAAGTACAATATGGAAGAGATATGAAGACAGTGGACAGCCTTGTGTCTTGTTCCTGTTTTTAGAGGAATCACATTGAGTTTCTTTCCATTTAGTTTGATCTTGGCTGTTCATTTGCTGTATACAGCTTTTTATCATGTTTAGCCATGTTCCTGTTATCTCTGATCTCTCCAAGACCTTTATCATGAAGGGGTGTTAGATTTCGTCAAAGGCTTTTTCCGCATCTAGTGATTGGATCATGTGATTTTTGATTATCATCTAGTTTATATGGTGAATTACACTGATGGATTTTTGTATGTTGAACCATCCCTGTATCCCTGGGATGAACCCTATTTGATCATAGTGGATGAGTTTTCTGATGTGTTCTTGGATCCAATTTACCAGTAATTTATTGCATATTTTGCATCAATGTTCATGAGGGAAACTGGTCTGAAGTTCTCTTTCTTAGTTATGTCTTTGTGTGAGTTGGGTATCAGGGTTATTGAAGCTTTGTACAAGGACTGGCAAAGACCCTTCTGCTTCTATTGCATGGAATACTTTGAGGAGAATGGGTGCAAGCTGTTTTTTGAATTTCTGGTTGAATTCTGCCCTGAGGACATCTAGACCTGGGCTTTGGTTGAGAGATTTTTGATGACTACTTCTATTTCTTTAGAGGTTATAGGTTTATTTAAATTGCTTATGTGTTCTTGATTTAATTTTGGCAAGTGATATCTATCAAGAAAATTGTCCATTTCCTTTAAATTTTTGAATTTTCTGGAGTACAAGTTTTCAAAGTATGATCTGATGATTCTCTGGATTTCTTCAGTGCCCATTGTTATGTACCCCTTTTCATTTATGATTTTGTTAATTTGCATGTTGACACTTTGCCATTTGGTAAGTTTGGATAAACGTTTTTCTGTCTTGTTTATCTTCTCAAAGAACCAATTCTTGGTTTCATTGATTCTTTGTATTGTTTTCCTAGTTTCTACTTTATTGATTTCAGCCCTCAATTTGATTATTTCTTGGCATTTACTCCTCTGGGGTAAGTTTGCTTCTTTTTGTTCTAGAACTTTCAGTGGTGCTGTTAATTATTTAGTGTGACTATTCTCCAGTTTCTTTATGTGGGCACTTCCCCAGTGTTATGAACTTTGCTCTTAGCACTGCTTTCAAAGTGTCCCATAAGTTTGGGTATGTTGTGTCTTCATTTTCATTGAATTCTAGGAAGTATTTAGTTTCTTTCTTTATTTCTTCCTTGACCTAGAATGGTACAATTGCTCGGTGTTCAATTTCCGTGTGTTTGTAGGGTTTCTGAAATTTGAGTTGTTGATGAATTCTATCTTTAATGCATGGTGATCTGATAAGATACAGGGGGTTATTCCAATTTTGTTGTACCCATTGAGGTTTGACATGTTTCCAAGTATGTGGTCGATTTTAGAGAAGGTCCCATGTGGCACTGAGAAGAAGGTATATTCTTCTGTGTTTAGGTGGAATGTCCTATAGATGTCTGTTTAACCCAATTGGGTCATAACTTCTGTTAGTTTCTTTGTTTCTTTGTTAAGTTTCTTTCTGGTGGTCCTGTCTAGTGGGGAAAGTGGGATGTTGAAGTCCCCCACTATAACTATGTGAGGTCTTATGTGTGATATGAGCTTTAGTAATTTTTCTTTTATGAATGTGGATGCCTTTGTATTTGGGGCATAGATGTTGAGAATTGAGACTTCATCTTGGTGAATTTCTCCTTTGATGAGTATGAAATGACCTCCTTCATCTCTTTTGATTGATTTTAATTTAAAGTCTAATTTGTTAGATATTAGTATTGCCATCCTCGCTTGTTTCTTGGATACATTTGATTGGAAAATCTTTTCCCAGCCCTTAACTGTGAAGTAATGTCTATCTTTGAAGCTAGGTGTGTTTCTGTCTTCGAATCCATTCTTTTAACTTGTTTTTTTGTGGGTGAATTAAGAACATTGATATTAAGGATATTACTGACCATTGATTGCTCATTTTTGTTTGTTTTGGAGTTGTTGTTGGTGGAATTGTGTGTGGATTTTCACCCTCTTTTTTTTGCCTGTTGGTAAAGTGAGATTATCTATTGCCTATGTTTTTCTGGTTGTAGTTAAGTTCCTTGGGTTGGAGCTTTCCTTCCAGAACTTTCTGTATGGCTGGATTAGTGGATATTCATAGTTTAAATCTGGTTATGTCATGGAATATCTTGTTTTCTCTGTCTATAATGATTGAAAGCTTTGCTGGGTATAGTAGTCTGGCCTGGCATCCATGGTCTCTTATTCTTGGTAGAATATTTATCCAGGACCTTCCAGATTTCAGAGTTTCCATGGAGAAGTCAAGTATAATTCTGATAGGTTTGCTTTTGTGTGTTACTTGACATTTTTCCTTAGCTGCTCTTAATATTCTTTCTTTATTCTGTATGTTTGGGGTCTTGAATATTATGTTTTGAGGGGATTTTTTTTGTGGTCTGCGGCTCTAGAACCAGGCTGGCGGGAAGGCTTCTCTCAGGGGAAAAGCTTCCCTTTACATAATGGTGATCAGGAGTGGGATCATGAATTTCCACGCAGAATGACAAAAGCTTTAAAGGAATTTTAGAAACAAAAGAATGGAGAAAAGCATGGGTACTTGGTAGCAGCATTTTTCTTAGGTGTACTCTATTTTGATATTGACAAGCAAAGACTCACACGGCTTGCTTAAGGGAGTCTTCCTGACTCAGCATAAATAAAACCAACAAGGTTCTTTTAAGAGGCTCTGCTAATGAAAAGTGTATAGGTACAGTTGGAAGTGGCAGTGACCACATCTCTAGGCCGGCAGCTTTTGCTAGATGTCAGCATGGACTGAGGCGGTAAGCGAAATCACGCTTACGCCTGCCATCTTGGAAAAACTGCAGTTTAAACAGCCGCGGTTTTAACAGATGAGACACATGGCCAGAAAAATCAGAGATTTACAGTAAAGTCAGACTTTGATGAAGAAAAACATCTAAAGGTTTACAGTGTGTTTAAAAATATACGGAAGATTGAGAAAGAAAAAGAAATGACATAGTGGTAAATAAATAGAGTAGCCTGCTGTGGTGGGCGTGATGGCACATGCAGGGAGGATTTGCTGCAGAGGCAGAGGCAGGCTGATATACAAAGAGAAACCCTGTCTCAGAGAAAAATAAATAAAAGTAAAAGAAATGGAATAATAATAATAGATAAATAAACCACGTAAAGATGAAAATACCCAGAAAATCTGAATACTGTATGCTATTATGTTTTTCAGTTTTTTCATTGCTAAGGAAGGAACAACTACTAAAGCACACTTGATTATAAATGCTGCTGAATTAATTCAACTTATATCTTTTGAAAATGCTTTGACTTCAAAATTTAAGTATAAGGATATGTTACTTGGAAAAGGAGTTTTTGTTTATGTTTCTACAGAAAATAAAAAGCTGAGGATTCCTTCCAGGCTTCTGTGGTTTGATGAACCAAGACCCCCGTAAGCAATGGCCCAAGTGATTCAACATCTAAAACAGCTAAGATGATACAGTCTTACAGACCCTGAAACTAAGGACTTATATGGGTTTCTGATTTGTCATGATCCCAATGGTATGAACAACGCCCCCTTCCAGCACGAAGCAGTTTGGAATGAGCAACGTCCTAATTCCCATCTTGTTTATAAATCTTTGTTTTCATTTAAATGGGGTTGTTTATAATTGACTAATGATCACAGCCAATCTCTTTTTAATGGTAAAAATGGGAATTATGGTATGGGTATGGTTTTTTATTTGATACAAATTCAAGGTCAATTTTGTGATGTGTATTTTTCTCATGATTAAGTATTGTGCTTTTACTGATCTTTTAAAAATAATGCATAATTAAATACAGACTATAGATAGTTACTTATAATAGTCAGAATTTATAGTTAGGTAAGTTAGGATTTCTAGATATACAGAAATATATTTGAGATAGATAGTCTTCAAACCTTTCAAAGACCTTCAGGAAATGGCATTTAAAAGATTTTAGGTTTTTCTTGACAATGATAAATGTCTGCTCCTGGCAGCACCAATTACGTCTGAGAGGAAGATGGGCATCGAAGAAATTTGTTATGGAGTTTGCTTTCAATATGGCAAGATTGGCCATTTGGGCAAGAAACTGCTCTTGCCTGGATTGCTTGACTGTTGCTGTATAATCTGGATATGGTCCACTCTATTTGGTGTTCTGTAAGCTTCTTGTACCTTCATTGGCATGTCTTTCTTTAGGTTGGGAAAGTTTTCTTCTATGATTTTGTTGAGTAAGTGTTTTGCCCCTTTGAGTTGGTTTTCTTCACCTAGTATTATTTGTTTGGTCTTTTCACAGTGTCCCATATTTCCTGGTTATTTTGTGATAGAGATTTGTTGGACTTAAGATTATCTTTGGTCGATGAATCTATTTCTCCTAGTGTATCTTCAACACCTGAGATTCTCTCTTCCATATCTTGTATTCTGTTGGTTACGCTTACATCTGTAGTACCTCACCATTTGCCCAGCTCTTCTATTTCCAGAATTCCTTCAGACTGTGTTTTTTTTAATTGTCTCTATTTCAGCTTTCAACCCTTGCACTGTTTGACTTGTTTCTTGCAAATTTGCTTTGCTTTTTCTTCCATTTCTTGCATTTTTTGTTTTGTTTTTTCTTCCAACTCTTTAAGGGATTTTCTCATATCCTTTTTGAGGGCTTCGATCATTATCATGAAGTCATATTTAATGTCATTCTCTACTGCTTCACTTGCATTTGAATATTGGAATCTTGCTGGTATAGATCTCTAGACTCTGGTAGTGTCCTTTTTTTCTGTTGCTGAGTGTGTTTTTGTATTGTCTCCTTCCCCTCCCTTCTTCCAGTGGGTGCAGAAAGAGCCTCTTCCTCTCCTGGTGAATAGGGAACCAGTGTTCCCTTTTGATGGTTGCAAGAAAGTCCAATACTCTGGTATTTCTCCTCTTCCTGGTCCTAGTTCCATGTGAGTAGAAGGAGACTGGGTTGCTGGGGTGCACTGGCTTCTCAGTGGCAGAGTTCAGGCACAGGAATGTGGCCTATAAACAGGACCTGGTTTACCTGGTCCTGGTTATGTGGGTGGAGATGGAGACCAGGATGCTGGGGTGCCTTGCTCCTGCTGGGATAGGAGACTCAGTGGCAGTCTCCAAGCACAGGAATATGACCCAGAAACAGGTACCATCACATATTTACACTTGTTTCTATATGCCATGAAATTACACATTTTTATAAGATAAGGTATCTTGTTCTGTTTCCATTCTCACAGCTAGCTGGTCCACTCCATGGACGGTTTAGATTACTCTGTGATACTTGGATAAATGTGTTTCAGGATACAGCACTACTGCCGTAGTTTACTGTCTGTTTCTGTGACGAAACACCATGACCAAAAGCAACTAGGGAGGACAAGGTTTATTTGATACACAGGTTACTGTCCATTATTGAGGGAAGCCAAAGCAGGAATCCAGAAGAAGGAACTAAAGCAGAGACTGTGCTGACTTTCCACAGCTTGCTCAGCTTTCTTGTAAAACCCAGGACCACCCTTCCACATTAATCAGCAACCAAGAAAATGTCCCATAGATATGTCCACATGTCAATCTGATGTAGTCAATTCCTCAACTGAAGATCCCTCTTATTTTTGAGGGACTTAAGTTTTATGAAGTTGACAAAATCCTACCTTTACAACCACTATTTCTGTTGTCTATTCTGGAGACATCTGGTTTATTGGAAAACTTGCATAATTTCCTTGTTTTGAAAATAGATGATCTCAAGAAATATTCTTCTGGGGGTTGGAGGGAAGGCTCAATATTTAAGTGCACTTATAACTTTTGCACAGGACCTGAGTTGAGTTCTTCGCACTCAGATCTAGCAAGTTCCCTGTAACTCCAGTTTCAGGGAATCTGATGCCCTCTTCTATGTTCCCCAAGTAGCTTCACTCACATGCATATATCTATACATAGTAAAATGTAAACACACACACACACTCCTACAGACATTCTGACTTCAAGACCTAGAAACTCAGAAGTAATTGATGCAGAATTCTTAGGGGAGTATTTACACACTAGGAAAAAATATACTTCATATCAACAGGGATACTGTACTCTATAAATTGCCCCTGTAACTATACTCTAGAACATAAAAAACAAATTAATTACTTCTCATGTATCTTATATGCCGTTTATCCTCACTTTTATGTCAAGTAGAATATATGAGGTTGAAGCTGTTTAACACATTCATGGAAAATATCAGTTTCTAAAGTATCACCACATTCTGAAAGGGAGGGTTTTAAATGCCATGTTCATTAAAAATCTGATGATCTTTATTTTATGATACCTGGTATTCATCTTTAAAATAGCTGTTTTTGTGCCAAATCTAACACCAAGTACATTTTACTTCCTGCTGAACATTCCACACTCTCCTCTTCCATAGGGGTTCCGGATCCAGACAAGGGCAAGTCTTATGAGCACACATACAGCAATAGCTTGTAATGCAGTTTGTTTGTCCAAGAAGTTCTTGGCTCTGTAGCGCTGACAGTAACAGAAATGTGTTTGGAAGTCCCAAACCCAGTGAGATATGACTAGGAAGACAATGAAAGGAACAGATGGATATCTTTACAGAGCAATGATTTCAGAACCACACTTGGGGTCATGCCCATTTTTTCTAACGGAGATGTGACAAAGGGAACAGACAAGGGCTAGTGAAAAAGGCATAAATTTCAGTAGTTAAAAAAAAACTCATTTTAGATATTGAACTCGAGTTGGAAGAGGCGAGTCCGGTCTCAAAATGGAGGGCCATGATCCAAAGGAACCAGAACAGTTGAGGAAGCTGTTTATTGGTGGTCTGAGCTTTGAAACCACAGATGATAGCTTAAGAGAACATTTTGAGAAATGGGGCACACTCACAGACTGTGTGGTAATGAGAGACCCCCAAACAAAACGTTCCAGGGGCTTTGGTTTTGTGACCTACTCTTGTGTTGAAGAGGTGGATGCTGCAATGTGTGCTCGGCCACACAAGGTTGATGGGCGTGTGGTGGAACCAAAGAGAGCCGTTTCTAGAGAGGATTCTGTAAAGCCTGGTGCCCATTTAACAGTGAAGAAAATTTTTGTTGGTGGTATTAAAGAAGACACAGAAGAATATAATCTGAGAGACTACTTTGAAAAGTATGGCAAGATTGAAACCATAGAAGTTATGGAAGACAGGCAGAGTGGAAAAAAGAGAGGATTTGCTTTTGTAACTTTTGATGATCATGACACCGTTGATAAAATTGTTGTTCAGAAATACCACACTATTAATGGGCATAATTGTGAGGTGAAAAAGGCTCTTTCTAAACAAGAGATGCAGTCTGCTGGATCACAGAGAGGTCGTGGAGGTGGATCTGGTAACTTTATGGGTCGTGGAGGAAACTTTGGAGGTGGTGGAGGTAATTTTGGTCGTGGTGGAAACTTTGGTGGAAGAGGAGGCTATGGTGGTGGAGGTGGTGGCAGCAGAGGTAGTTATGGAGGTGGTGATGGTGGATATAATGGATTTGGAGGTGATGGTGGCAACTATGGTGGCGGTCCTGGTTACAGTAGTAGAGGAGGCTATGGTGGTGGTGGACCAGGATATGGAAACCAGGGTGGTGGATATGGTGGTGGTGGAGGAGGATATGATGGTTACAATGAAGGAGGAAATTTTGGTGGAGGTAACTATGGTGGTGGTGGTAACTATAATGACTTTGGAAATTATAGTGGACAACAGCAATCAAATTATGGACCCATGAAAGGGGGCAGTTTTGGTGGAAGAAGCTCAGGCAGTCCCTATGGTGGTGGCTATGGATCTGGTGGTGGAAGTGGTGGATATGGTAGCAGAAGGTTTTAAAAAAATACAGCAGAAAAGGGCTACAGTTCTTAGCAGGAGAGAGAGCGAGGAGTTGTCAGGAAAGCTGCAGGTTACTTTGAGACAGTCATCCTAAATGCATTAGAGGAACTGTAAAAATCTGCCACAGGAGGAACGATGATCCATAGTAAGAAAAGTTACTGCAGCTTAAACAGGAAACCCTTCTTGTTCAGGACTGTCATAGCCACAGTTTGCAAACAGTGCAGCTATTGATTAATGCGATGTAGTGTCAATTAGATGTACATTCCTGAGGTCTTTATCTGTTGTAGCTTTGTCTCTCTTTTTCTTTTCATTACATCAGGTATATTGCCCTGTAAATTGTGGTAGTGGTACCAGGAATAAAAAATTAAGGAATTTTTAACTTTTCAATATTTGTGTAGTTCAGTTTTTCTACATTTTAGTACAGAAACTTTAACAAAAATGCAGTTTTGAAGGTGTTTCCTTGTGAGTTAACAAGTAAAGAAGATCATTGTTAATTACTATTTTGTATGAATTTTGCTAAAGTTAACTGTAAAGAAACACCTACTGACTTGCAATTTAAGGGGAATCTATTCTTCCCATTTCCAAAACTATGAGTGGGCGCTGACATGTGGAGAGAATAGATATTTGTATGTTTGCAATGTGTGTTTTAGATAATTAGGATTGGGTAATAAAATTAGCATATTTGTGAATTTAATAGCATTAAGATTACTCTCAAATGAAAAAGATCTCAAAAGTTCCTATTTGGGTTTTGTGCATTTTATTTCAAAATGTAATCATGGTTTTAGTATGTTTCATTGAGTCCTAACCGTGTTAAGAACATCTCCATTCCACATTTACCCTGATCACATTGAAACTGCTGCCAATAGTTTGGGGTATAAAAGTATTTATATTTATATCACACTCTACTGAAGGGTGGTGGGTGTATTTCATCTTCCAATTTAACAGTCTTTTAATACAGGACCACTAAGTATGCTGTGTCTGAGCAAACTGGTGGATACCTGGTTCTGCTTTTCAGATGCAAAGTCCCAAAGCACATTATTATTCCTTGGTTTTTAGTGTCCCCCACCATACAACTTTTCAGAGCAGAGGAATAAAAGTCACTCGTTTGAACCCCCCCAAAAAACTCATTTTAGATTCTTGAAGATTCTAAAGATTAAAATGAATATGATTTTAGTTGTTTATGCATACGATACAGAAACCTGGAAGTATTGCTTTATAGAAAATATAGTGCATTTAATGACAAATAAGCTGGCTATCAAAGGTGTATTAGGCATACAATATGAATTTTGTTACTATTTGTTCTCTTGGAACAGAAGACAAAATAATTGAGATAGCAAGATAGAAATCTGCATTAAGACTGTTTTGTGATTCTAAGGAAAACCTTTGCCATATATCACTCTATAACTCTCTTTATGTTTATGGAACACACTGATGTCACATGGGGGTGATAAGGCAACTTCAGACTATTGACCACTGGATTTTAAAGTTTTTAAAGTTATGAAAGTATTGGTGTGTATTTTAGGAAATATCTTAAATTGAGTTGAAACAAAATGACTCTGAATTCTAGCAATTGGTGTCTTTTAAAATTAAACAAAGAAACAAACAACTAGAAAGTATATGAGATATGTGGATTTGGAGAAGGGTTATGTTAGGGCTAATAGCTAACATACAAGCTAATAGTTGTATGTTAGATTAAAAATGGTTTGTATGATTCAGTATTAGATGTGGTTGTACTGGTTCAGGGTGGCGGATATCCATAGGGTAGACTTGATTCTTGTGATAAAGCATGTAGAGCCTAAGAAGTCTTACAGTAACAATTTAGTGGTGTTTTGCACCTTCATGTTGTTGTGTAACCATCATTACCATGCATTTCTAGAACTATTTATATCTTAAACTTAGGTCTTATTGCTCTCCTTCTACAGTCTCCATAATATTGTTCTACACTTGGTCTGCATCAGCTTGATTCTTCCAGCCACCTTGTGTGAGTCGAATCATAGAGTGGCTATCCTTTTTGTGCATGGCATAATTCACTAGCATATTGCTTATGAAGATCATCCACGCTGTAGCAGAATTCCACCCGTTTTTCAGGCTGCATGTGCACACCATGTTTTGTGTATCCATGTATCTGTTGATGGACACTTGGCTTGTTTCCAATTTTGACTACTATGTTTAATGCTACTGGGAACATTAGCGTACACATATCTGTTTCAGCCCATGATTCCTATTCATTTTGGAATGTAGCTAGAAGTAGCATTGCTGGCTCATGTGGCAATTCTAAATTTAAGATTTGAGGACTTGCCATTCTGTCTTCCATAGCAGATGTACCATTTTACATTCCCACCAACAAGGGTCCCAAATTTTCCACATCCTCCCCAACACTTATTTTCAATACTGTTTGTTTTTTATAGCAGATACTTCAATAATATTCTTATTTGTATTTCTCTGTGAGAATAAGAAAAATACTACCATGTGCTTATTTGCCATTTTTGTATCTTCTTTGGAGAAGTGCATATTGACATTCATTACTTATTTTCAAATTTCTTTTTGGTTTTTGTTAGTGACTTATATTTGCTTTTGTTTTGGAAATTAATTCCTTACAAACTCTCTTATTTGCAAACATTGACATTTTACCCCCTTGTCATCATCCTTTGAAGGACTAAAGTCTTAAATTTTCAAAGTCTAATTACTTTATTTTTATTGTCTATGGTTTTGCATTGGACCTAGGAAGCATAACCTTAATGTAGCGATATTGGAAAATACTGCTGGTAGATAGATGAATGCATGACTGCAATTTGTTGACAGCCAAATACAATGCAAGAATTTTTAAAATCATGTTTTCATATCCTAGAAATAATTTGATTGAAATAACTGGGCAATTTTGAAAATTTATAGTATAATTGATTTCTAAGATGCACTTGATCTTACTCACAAAGAATTACTTCTGCCCTTTTGGGGGAATTTTTAAGACCAGAACGTAACCACTTATGCTGTCCTGGAAGTCTCCATGAAGCCAAGGATGATCTTAAATTTCTCATTTTCCATTTTCTGAGTGCTGGATTCACAGGTTCACACTACTGCACAATGGAATTCCATTTCCTTACCTCTAGGTATGGAGGAAATGTCCTTTATAAAGTGGAATTAAATTCCCTTTACACCATTGTAGAGAATACAGCAAGAATGGACTCAGGACTCTGGGCTGCCTGGCATTCCCATGAGATGTGGGAGAGGCTGGTGGGTTTGATGATGGGAGGGTGAGTATATCCAGAAGACCCAGTTTGAAGGACCAACCATAGCTGACCCTAACATCATACTATTTTAGTTATTGTCCATTCTCTTAAAAACTGTAGGGTCAACTAATGAGATAGACAGCAGAGCACGTTAGCATGTATCTGGGCAGTAGGTGGTGGGGATACCTGTGCCATGAGTGTGAATGAAGTGTGAAATGAAAGGTCACGAATTGCCATTTCCTTAGGACATCGTTGAATGCTGGATGGGAGAAACTATACTGGTACAGCTTTATTTCTCAATCTTTGCAAACTGAACCTTGAGAAAACTAGTGGTGTTTTGTATGCTTAAGATTGACATTTTACTCTCTGCAAATGGCCAATCAAGGGTCTCTGTGGTAAGTACTGTCTACTGTAAGAAGAGACTTCTTTAATGAGGGTTGGGAGATATAATAGCTAGTAAGTCATTAAAAGTCTTTTTACTGTCATGTCCATTTAACAGAATTCTAGTGACCAGGAGAAAGAAGCTTTCCTTTATGATAGGTCTCCTTATGAGTTGACACACTCCAGGGAACATGGCACCCCCAAGAGTTATTGGGCTCACAAACTAGATCAGATGGGGCAAGAAAAAAGAAGAGAACTCAGAGTTGGGTGGGTAGGCCAAGGAGGCTCCAGAGGATGCATATGAAAGGAGTTGGGGAGAGAGGCACATGATCAAAATAAATTGTATGATATTTTTAAAGCATTAATAAAATATTATTTAGAAAATTAAAAATTTCAAAGAAAAGTTGGAAATTTCCTTCTGGTTTGGCACTTCCACACACAAACCAACTCCCAGAACTGGGGCTATATAACTCTGTTTAAACCTCAGGTTCCAATATACGGCTTGTAAGTTTTAGTTGAAATTCATTAGGAGCATGGTTTTAATTCCTTGACAAATGAAGAGTACATAACTCTAGTTCTCTAGTGATAGCTGTCAATTACGGATCAGAAAGGAAACATTGTCAAAGGCTGCAGGGAAATTTTATAAAATGCACACATGTTTTCTTCATGTTTCTCTTTACATAGGCATTGATTAGTTTTCATAATGTAACTTGTGGCTGTTACGAGAGAGTGAAACTCAGGAAAGACAGGAGAAAGCATACACAGACAAGGGGAATAACTGGGCATTGGTTAGAACTGAAGGGTAGAGGCTGTGGCAGAATGAATGAAAGTTAGATAAATGATTGTCCAAATACTCACAGAGGCAAACAGTTGGTGCATGATTTGGTTTTGATACAACTTTAATGAATGTCATTCTTCTCTATGGTGCAGCATGCTGGAGCTTTAGCACATCGCTGCTTGGTGCCCAGTGGGCAGCAAGCGCCCAGTTGCCAGTGCCACTTTTTAGTGCATGTTCATCGGCAGGGTACTAAATGGACTGCCATCCTTTTGATGTTCATGAATACAAGTAGTTATGATATGACCCAGTGGATTGCGTTTCAGGGAAAAGAAGCAATGGGGGATTAAGGGAGGTGGAGTAAGAAGAAAGGAACAAGGGGAGGAGGGTGGGTATGCACAGGGTCAGAAGGACGGAACTTTTCATCTGTCCCCCACATGAAAGGATTTCCTAGGTGACTACATGTTGTGAAAATGAGTATCAAACATTCTTTGTAGAGAAAAATTTTGTGTCCAGAAGTTCTTACCCAGATTCATGTTTTGCAGCCAAGGAAACATCTCAAAAAACCTGTATTTTTTTTTTAGAAACTGAAAATTATTATTGAATAAAGGATGATTTTATTATAATTCAGAAACTTCTAGTGTATGCTTGGAATAATTTGCAATAAAAGCTATATGTATGTACATATGTATGCATGCATGTATGCATCCTCCAAATTGCTCATTTGCCAAGGCAAAATTTTAAATTTCACAATAAATCTCATAGATGTATTTATAATTGCCTTTGACTTTATCTTATATGTATTATAGTATTATTTAAGGCAATGTAAAAAAACCCTAAAACTACATATTAAATATTTTCCAATATATATGTATATTTATGAAATAGTAATTCCACTTTCTGTTGTTTTTTTTTTCTTTTGGATGATTTTGGGCTTCAGCCCTACACAATTCTAGTCATTTCTTAGGGTTTTCTTTAAGAACACTAATTTTGAGAATGTTAAATGCTGTAAGGCCATTATATTTCTTTCCATGACTCTAGAACCGTACCCGTTTTGGATGAAGAAGGTTATTTTCTTGTTCATTTTTCTCAGTGTCCTTAATAGGAAAACAGTTCTGATATGGTGGATAACTGTGGATCACTTGAAAAAGAACTGGGAAGAAGTGATCAATCAGTTGTTTCAGAGAAATATATCCAAGGCTAGTCAAACCTTATTGACAATGTGAGGACAAGACAGAAGGGAGACTAGCAACTACAGATTCCTCCAGCGTTTTTTTTTTTTTTTTGTTAAATCCATCTCCTGCTTTTATCTCACTGCCCAGGCTGAACTGAGGTGGAAAAATGAAGAGGCAGCTGCACACACAGCCTTGTGCATTCTGGATGAAAAGCTCTGTAGACAAACCAGAATTGTCCTTATTTGCAGTCTCTCAAACGTTTTTTTTTTTTTTGTCCTGTATTTTGCCCCATTTTCTTTGGAGATACTAATAGAGACATAATGTCTTCTTACTAATTTTGTCTTATAAACATGGCTGAGCTTGGCTTTTCTGATATTTGAAAAAACATCCTCTCACAGCTAAATGTAAGAGATCTGTGGTTTGTTTACAATGAGCTGAATTTCAGATGGTTTACAACAAGATAATTAACATAGTCTAACTGCCCTCTACTTCTTTCTCACCAAGGATCTATCAAGGTCTTTTTTCCTTTTTATTGGCTAAAATAAAGTCCTTTGGTGAGAGTTGACATGCTAATGAGCAGAAATGTATGCTACACACAAAGAGGGCAAGGAGCACACATAATTTTTTCAATGCTCAAATAAACTGGGCAGTAAAGGTTGTTGATAGGAACTACAGTGATTATTTAAATATTAAGTTTATTAAGTTTTGATTGAAACAATCAGAACATAGTATAGAGTCATCATTTCAGTGGGAAGCTAAAGTGGGCTACTGACTGAGATGATGATGTATGTGAACTTTACTGGATGATTATCCTAGGAAGTCTTATTAGTTCCTACATTCTTAAAAAGAAGCACAGGAGCAAAATTTCCATATCTAATAGTCATAAAGTGGGCACATAATATTCTACCTAAATGGAGATTGCTGAATATAACAGTTAGATGCAGATGCTGAGGCATCAGAGAGTACAACAGATTTCCTGGGATTTATGGGCACTTACATCTCCATGATAATAGAAGCATCGGACATCAGATAGATACATGATTCAGGACTCTGAGAAGAGGCAAGTTGCAGGTTGGGGATACTTATCTCTTTTTCCATTGTACATAAGTTACATTCCTAGAGCTAAATCAGAAATTATGAAGCTGCTTAATGACTCTCCCTCCTGATACTAAATACTGTATTTGTCCTTCACTAGATTTAATAGTGCATCTTGTGTCTCTTTAAATAACCTCAGCTTCTCACTTTTCTTGCTCTTTTTTTGTTTCTCTTCTAAGTTTCTTTCTCTCTTCATCCTCATCTATTTCATCTCTTCCCAGTCCCCACTCACTTGATTTATGATACAAGCCCTTGAGAAATTGTATTTATATGTGTGCTTCCTCTTTCGGCTCAACCTCTCTCTCTCTCTCTCTCTCTCTCTCTCTCTCTCTCTCTCTCTCTCTCTCATCTCTCGCTCTCTCTCTTTCACACACACACACGCCTCCCATTAAAGGAAGAGTTTCTTAGCACTTAAGCAACAGGACCCCACCCCACAGTTTAACCAGAAAGTTCTGTCTAGTGGCCATATGGAAAAATTACCCACTAGCTGTTTTCATAATAGAAAACACAGAAGCTTCTTTATAGTTTAAGGGTGAAGTACTATAATTTGCCAGTATCATATAAGACAAATTATAAAATGAAACGTTTCTTAATCAAAGGGAAAGCAGATAATACCAGAAGGATGTTCTTGGAAGGAATATGACTGAGACACTGCTGAGCTTGATGTTTTTCTTAACCTGTGATGACGATTCTTGGTTGTCAACTTGACTGAATATGGAATTAACCAGTTGACCAAAACCCAAGCAGCCGGGTACTTCTGTAAGGGATCTTTTTCCTCCTCAATTAAATGAAGTGGGAAGACCCAATTTTCATTTGAATCTTTTGAGGTAGGAAAATACATGTTTAATATAAGCCATACCTTCTCTTGGTAGCCTATATTATAAAAGACATGGAAGAAGGAAACTTGCTCTATTTGACTGCCTGACAAGTCCATTCCTTCACTGGCATTAGAGAATGCTTCTTCAGGATTCTGGAATACACTGAAGACCAGCTGAGACATGCAGTCTTATGGACTGAACAACTACTGGATTCTTGGACCTTCTGTTGGTACACAGCCATAGTTGGACTAGGTGTATCATAACCTATAAGCCATCAATATACATATATATATAATTTATTATGGAATACATATATATGGAATTTATTAAAGAATATACATATTCTGTAAGTCCTGTTTCTCTGAGAAACTTGACTCATAACATCTTTATGAATGAGGTGGAGACCAGTTCAGTGGACCAGAATGCTTGCTGTTCTTCTTGAGTAACTGGGTTTTGTTCCCAACACCCCTGTTTGGCTGTTCATGATAGCCTGTAACAGGGGATCTGATGCCTTCTTTGGCTTCCATCAGCTACACATATATACACCCAGGGGCACACACACATACATAAAATAAATAAATCTTTAAAAATCATTAGATAAATAAGTGTAAAAAAACCAAAACCCAACAATTTTGTGATGGACTGAGATGATGATTCAGCAGTCAAAAATGCATACTGCTTATCCAGAGAATATGAGTTTTGTTCTCAGCATCCATGTCTAGTGGTTCACAGAGGCTGGAAGCCTCAGCTCCAGGGTGCTTTCTAGACTCTGCAGGCACTGTAATCACATGTACAATCAGATTAACAGACAGACACAGACAGACAGACAGACAGACAGACAGACAGACAGACAGACAGCACACACACACACACACACACACACACACACACACACACACACACACTACATGTGTACCTAACTCCCTTGGAGGCCAGAGAAAGCATCAAATCTTCTGGAGCTAGAGTTTCCAGCCACATGGGTGCTGGAAATCAAACTCAGGTTCTCTGGAAGAGCAACCAGTGCTCTTAACTACTGAGCTACCTCTCCAGCTTCTAGTTTGTATTTTCTAAAAATTTATACAAAGGAGACTGCACAGCTTCAGCATGTCTGTTCTAAGTGTATAGAGGTTCAGTGAGGTCTATGGAGTTTGAGTCTGGTTACTCTTGCTACATAGTGCTTTTGATGGCGATAATATAATTTTCATTCATTTAAAAATATTCTTTCTCTCCATTTACAGAAGTTATTCATACAGCTTCCAATTATTTAAGATTTTCCCAAAGATATGTCTTTTGTGAATTTGCATGTATTTAAATATATACGACATTGAAAACAATTTGGGCTGCTGTTTGAATATGGTCTTTGGTGGCAAATGTTTCATACACACTTGAAAAGAAAAAAAAGTTGTCAGTTGTCATGCTCTGTGAATGCCCATTAAGTCAAATTGATGGTATTGTTCAAACATTCTACACTTTCCAAATTCTCATTTGCATGTCCTACTGCTGCAATTAATATTTTATTTCTTTCATACCTACCACACTTAGGCTTTATATGTTTCAAAACTTTATCTTGAAGTGTTTAAATATTTAGGATTATTAAGAATTTTGATGAATATACCCTTTTGTCTTTACCATTTGTAGATCTTATTTGTCACTGATAACATTCTTTGTTCTGAAATTTGCCTTGGCACAGGAATAAACATTTCAGATCTCTTTTGATTAATTTTAACATATTTCCCCAGTCCTTCCTCTTTAATTTTTTTCCTATATATGTATAATATTGCCTTAATTTGATAGTGTTGCTTTTGATTTGGAATAATTGGACCATTTACAGTTAATGTTTTCATCAGCATGCTTATGTTTAAATATATTTTCCTACTTACTATTTATTCCTTTTTATCTGTTATATACTGTTTTGGGGATCAATTGAATATTTTATGGCTCTAACTTAGATATTTAAGTGATTAATAAAATTTTTCTTTTACTTTTGGGTTTGATCATATTAAAGTATAATTTAAAGTATTATATCACATAACATGTTATAGGACGTTTAAAACTTACACTTATTCTTTTGCAACCTTCATTTTTTTATTCTTAGACACTATTTAATATTATTTCAATAATCTCTTCCTTGAAAATATGTACTACAATAACCTGCAGCCTTTCACTTTTCTACCTTAGATCTAAGATAGTTAATAAAAAGTGAAATACATAAAATAATATTGGAATCATATTGTTCTGTCAATATAAATGATAATTCTATTTTGTAAATTTTGATGCTAGGATGTGACACATTTAAAGTTAAGTACTATCATTTTAGGAAACTATTTTTCTTGGTAAATATTATGTATATGTGTTGCCCTACACATACATGCCTATTTATCCTGAAGGAATTACATCTGTAATGGTCAAGACATCTCTTTTCTGACCCACCAGCTGCCATGTGCTCTGAATTTATAAATAGGCTTCTCTATGATATAAATGTTGCATGCCAAATAAAATATGCCCTCCCCCATGGAAACCAGTAAAATGCTTTCTTCCCATCATGACAACCTTAACTATTGATGTTAAAAACAATTGAGGTTTTCCATATTCTTTTATAATGTGATCTCTTTATTCAAAACCTTTATTTTAAGGTGTATTTGTCAGGGCCTCATTGGTCCTGTAGCAAGTGGTTTATAAATAAAATATAAACCTATAATAGTGACCTCACATTAAAAGACAGAATTCATTCTATAGAAAGCTGTTATTTCTTAGGAATCTGTGGTTGAAATTAATCTTCAAAACTGGAGACATATCTTGCTCCAATTAATAATGTTATGCTACTCACTATAAAAAAGCCCAAGGGCAGACAGGAGAAGACAGCCCCTTCACCATTTTCAGGGGTTTGGGCTGTCACCCAACCCATTGACTTCATCACTGCTTTCTTCCATGTTGCATAACGAATTTCACTTTCTGTGGCTTGGATTTGTGGCTCATACCGTTCCATCAAGACTGCAGAAATATCCTCAGGTTCAAGACTCCAAACGTCTACCCCCTCTGCAGCTCCAGCTGCCATGGCAGCTCCCAGGGCAGTTGTTTCAGGCATAACCGACTTAACTACAGGAATGCGCAGAATGTCTGCCTGTAGTTGCATAAGAATTTTGTTGTTGGTCATTCCTCCATCTACCTGCAAATGGCTGAGTGGAATTCCACAGTCGCGGTTCATGGCATCCAGAATCTCTCTGGTTTGGAAACAAACAGCTTCTAAGGCAGCAAAGGCAATATGGCATTTATTGGTGAACTGAGTGAGACCACAGATTATCCCTCTTGCACTGGGTTCCCAGTAAGGAGCATATAACCCTGAAAAGGCTGGGACGAAGTAGCAGCCATAGGAAGTGCCTACCTCTTTTGCAAGCTTTTCAATTTCTTCTGAGGTCGTTATAATTTCAAAATTGTCTCTAAGCCAGCGAATAACCGCACCAGCTATTGCGACAGAACCTTCTAATGCGTAAAATGCTGGCTTATTTTTGCCTAGTTTGTAAGCCACTGTGGTCAGAAGGCCATGTTCAGAAAACACGCACTTATGGCCTGTATTGCATAGTAAGAAGCACCCTGTTCCATATGTGTTTTTGGCTTGACCTTCCTGGAAGCACATCTGTCCCAGTAATGCAGCGGATTGGTCCCCCAAACATCCAGATATAGGCACGCCTTCCAAGGCTCCTGCAGTCATCAGGCCATAGATCTCAGAAGAACTGCAAACGTTTGGGAGAATGTTCATGGGGATTTCAAAAAAGTCACAGAGCTCTTTATCCCATTCCAAAGAGTGGATGTTGAAAAGCATCGTTCTACTAGCATTTGTTACATCTGTACAATGGACGCCTCCATTGACTCCCCCTGTCATACTCCAGATGAGCCAGGAGTCGATGGTTCCAAACAGGGCTCTGCCTTCCTCAACAGCCTTTTGAATGGGTCTCAGGTTGTCCAACATCCAGCGCAGTTTCACTGCACTGAAGTAAGTGCTCAGCGGCAGGCCTGTCTTGGACTTGACAAAGTTGCTGTTTCCTGGGATTTTCTTACTGAGAGCCTCCACGGTAGACTGGGTTCTGAGATCAAGCCACACCACAGCATTGTAGAGAGGGTCTCCCGTGAACTTGTCCCAGACCACAGTGGTTTCCCGCTGGTTGCTCAAACCGACAGCTTTAATGTTGGAAATATCAATGTTCACCCCAGCAAGTTTCTCGCAAGTTCTTGCTATGCACTCATAGACGGACTGAAGAATTTCCTTGGGGTCTTGCTCCACCCATCCTTCTTTTGGAAACTCTTGTGTCAATTCCACATGATGGTGGCTAAGTAGTTCTGATGTTTTGGAATTGAAAACTAGAAAGCGAGTGGAGTTGGTGCCCTGGACCACTGCTCCCACTAACGGCCCCACAGCTGTTTGCTTCGAGGCTGCCATGAAACTGGTCAGTGGAGTCTGTGGCTCAGGGACCGTTTCCCTGGTGATGCCCGTTTGGAGGAGGCACAACAGCCAGTCAGGGAAGCTGGAGTGCGCAGGCGCAGCTGCCAGCTTCCGCTAATTTATTTGACCCGCCCCTCGCCAAAGCCCCGCCCCTCGCCTCTCTGTCTCATTTCCTGAGATTTATATGATAATATTCAGAGTGCGCTTTACTCTTGCGTGTGTGGATCTGTGTTTCTGTTTTCTCTCCCTTTCTACCTGTGAAATATCCTTACGATTTCTTATAAAGCAAATGTGTCAGACACAGATTCTTCCAACATTTGAACTTCTGAAAGCATTTTGTCTTAATACTGAAAGCTAATTTGTTTGGGGTATAGAGTTGCAATTTCCTTTCTCACGCCTTCCTTTTAAGAACCATGGGGTAGTTACTTGAATAACTTCACTTCCCATTTTAGGTATGTTTCTCATTCTTGTTTTTAGCCTGTTTTATTTACTCTGACTGCTTGTAGAGTTTTCATCGTTGCTGCCTGTTTTTGGCGGTTTGTGTTTTAAACGGGCATTTTCCATCCGTTTTATGTGCATTGTGGGGTTTTCGTTATTTTCTTTTGTTTTGTTTTCCCTCCTTTCTGTGTTTGGGGTTTGCTGTGTCACTTATCTGCAGATTCACAACATCCATCAAATATGAAAAATTCTGGCTATTATTTCTTCAAATATTTGCTTTATTTGTACCTTTAAGGTCTCAAACCTCATATATGGAATCTGTCTTACAAGTTCACTGGCTTTCCACTCATTATAAAGATCTACTCTGTATTTAAATGTACAGTTTGTAACTGCTCTGTATTCAAGTCCATAACGCTAGTCTAGATCTGCAGTTAATTTACATCTGCTGTATTTTTCCAGTTCATGTGTAGTTTTAACTCCTAGAAGTTCAACTTGGGGATTTTTAGATACCTACTGAACCTTTCTTTAACATGTGGAATACAGTTAGAATAGATTTTAACATCATTTTCTGCAATAAACTGTCAGTTTCTGTTCAATTTTGATTTATTTATTGTCTTATTATGGCTTCTATTTCCACCTTTCTTTGCATGTTTGATAATTTTTAATTAAGTGCTAGGCTTAATTAAATGGATTTGCTTTACATGGGTACTAAATACACTTGTATGCTGTTAGTCAGAATACAGTCTGTTCTGAGATGTCGATAAGTAACCTGGAAAGAGTTGCTTTCTTAAAAATTACCCTTTGATCGTTTCATGCATGTAAAGAATATGCTTAGATCTTATCCAACTTCTACTTGTTCCACTCCAACTCCTTCCCAGTGACATCAGTCCTCTCTGGACCCCATGTCTTTCTTTTAATAACAATTTGAGTCTAATAAATCTTGCCTATATGTTCATGGATGTAGGGCCATCCATTGCACTAGGAGCGACTTATTTCAGGGCACCCTCATAAAGAAAACTCAGTCTTCCTCTCCCAGTAGCCATCACTTGACAATTTATCCCCAGCTAGGAGTGACACGTGAACCCCTCCCAACCGCTCACCTTGGTCTCAGGATATGAAGATATCAAGATGGAAATGATCTGGAAGTTTCCTTCATGCTGCTTACCCATTCATAGAATGGGATAGTCCTATATAGGCTGCTGGGGGAGAAAAATTATCAACAGTCTTAACCTGCCTGGGAACTTAGCAAGATAGAAAAATGATGTATTTAGAAAGATATGAACATTGGTGCATTAGTGCCATACATATTGTGGGGGCAAGGAACAGCTTTCAAATAGGATTTTAAAACCCACCCCACAGGATGTAACTCATGCCTAGAACTGTAACCCTGCCCAACTCTAACCCTCATGGCTCAGGTCACAGGTACTAGGAAGAACCTACTCTTACATTGTTTTGCTAAATGGACATAGTATCAGTATCCCTTCTGAATTCCTCTCTTACTAGTGCAGGTCTAATTGCTCATCAAAGCTTTTGTGGCAGTGTTCAGTGACTAATAGAGAGACTCAAAACTAGCCTAAACACAGGGAACAAGTGACTGTGGAGTGATTATCCCTGTCTCTCTCAAGGCTCAAAAAACTTCATGGAATAGGGAGCAGAAAGATGGTAAGATCCAGAGAGTAAGCAGGAAGTTTTTATAAAACAGTCTCTTCTGGTCCCAGCATTGCTGTTGCATGCACAAACTCACAGCAGCTTCAGTTACTGGCTTAAAGCTGCACAGGCGCAAGTCACCAACATTCCAGCTTCACTTTGAAAACCTGTTATAGAAGAAATATGGGCCATGATCAGTTTAGGAATAACTACTCTCCTTGGCTTAGAGAGATCTTTCTATGAACTCTACACAGTGTTCAAAGCCAATGACGTTTTGTTGTTGTTGGGTACAGTCTTATCTCCCAGTCCTGGACTGATATCAGACCCTATTCTTCCTGACCCTCTCAGCCTCAAGCGACTTCTTCACAAAGGGGCACTGATCAGTGCCCATACCACTTGGTTCTAACCTCTTAGGAATCACTTTCCATTCCTTGGCATTTAGCACTTTATGCAGAAATGTCATGAATTTTATAAATTATTTCTTATATTTTTTGTTCATTTTTTAGTTGTTCCAGGTGGGGAAATAGGCCACTCTCTTTTATTCCAAGGAAGATAGAGTAAATACCTACTGAATGAAAATTTAAAATTTTTTATCTGTGAAGTTGATGATTAAAATAATATTTAATTCCCAGGTGGTGATAGCATACACCTTTAATCATAGCATTTGGGAGGCAGAGGCAGGTGAGTCTCTAAGTTCAAAGACTCTGGTCTCCAGAGTGAGTTCCCGGGCAGCCAGGGCTACATAGAGAAATGCTGTCTCAAAAAATAGAGAAATAAACCAACCAAACAAAAAATATTTAATTACCAGGTAAAATTTAATAGACAATCAATTACTGGTAGCAGTTTTTACATTAGGGCATAGATTAGATCTGCATTAGCTTAACGATGGGACCCATTTATTCCTAATGAAAACCAAACAGAACTATATAGAAAATAACACAAAGAACTGTGGTACTGTGGTTTCATTATTTTAACTGGTTCTTGTTTTCCATTTATGTAAACTTTTCAGGGATTATAAAGGCAGACAAAGAGAGGTGGCGTTTCAATGCAATATGGATGGTAAAGAATAGAAAGGACCAGGAGTGGAACCGATTTTCTCCATCATGTCTCCATTCACATTTTACAAGTCTACCAGAGTACTTGTGAGTTTATTGTATTATGTTTGTCTGAATTTTCATGCAGCACAGTGTATAAATTGTATTTAAATTTTCTTCCTGTGTATTTAACAGTAGTAAGACATTTTATGTACAAAATATATATAAGAAAACATTTAATGCATTTTTTCTTTAGATCCCTTTTTCCCAGTCATACCCAAATATGCAAACCAATTTTTTCATCCCCATTAGTTCTTAATTCTTAGACTGCTTTAAGACATTTCTCTTTAAGTACTTAACTATAAAGACTTCTGATTATAAAGAAATGGTTTATACAATTCTGCTGATCATAAAGTTTAGCCATTGAATGATCAGATAAATGTCACAATTCAGTTTAGAAAGGTGACTAACTGACTTAGTTCTTTACTGAAAGCTGATAAATGATGCTTTGCAGACAATTGAACCAACAAGTAAAAAGTTTAAAGCTTCCCATATTACAGTAGGATTACAGTAGGTAGGAGCACACTCATCCACAGAACCTTCTTAATTTAAAATCTTATTTATATCCATATTATCAAGTTTTAAATTCTTACATTCAATAATTTAACAAATATTTTAGGGGTTGTTATACATGTGTTTTATTGTAAGCAATAATGCAGTAATACATAAAATGTCACCCTTATTATAACTTTTAGGTTAGAACCATACAAACTAAATGTACTTGTCTTTAATGGCTTATCTTCCAATGCTTACCCTATTTTAGAGAGAATTTATTTATTTTCCCCCATCAACTCCCCTAAATTTTAAAGTTCAATGAGGACATGGAATTGGGGTTATTATATTTAATCCTTTATTTGCAGCCTATTTCAAATCTTAGCACCTCAAAAAATTGTTAAATGAATTAATGAACACCACTAGTTATAGTCCTTGCTTAGATAAGTAATTATTATGAATTCAAGATAATTTATCTGTATTTATTTTTACATAATAGTTTAGCATGCATTATAAATTTTTTTATAAATTTTTATATGTAATCAGTTATCCTCAAAAGAGCAATTTTGAAGTTTCACTTTGGGAGTCTTTATAAATACATGTTTGTTGATTAATTACCTTTGTTAGGTTTTTAGCAAAAGATGGAGAGAGCAAATTATTTCAGAAAAATTCCTAGTATGAAGGAAATCTTAACTTCTAGGACCTGGGAACTTTTGCAAGGAAAATGCTTGATTTGCTTCTCCGTGTCTGAGTCTATCTGAGTCTAAGTAAATGGTCTTGAGCTCCTGTTGGCTAGGGGAAACTGCTGGGGTTCTTAGTTCAAGAATATTATTAAATTTGCACACAAAGGTGTGAGAAGGGAAATTAAATTTTTATGCAGATTAAAAAGATTCTATAAAATGCAGAAGTATTAATAGCTCACCATGAACGCAGCAAGAGGTTAATAAAAGTAGAGCAGGTGGGTTTCACAAATATCTACTTCCATTAGGTTATCAGAGACAAGCTGAGACAGATGGCATCTGGGAGAGTAGCCTAGTGATGAGATCAGACATGTTTAATGTAGTTCAGCTGTAGACCAGTATCTCTTTCAAAGGGGTATTTGGGTTCCACAAAGATTCTTATATCCCATCACTATATTCTTATCTGTATTATACTGGATGATTAACAACTTCATGAGTTTCCCAACTAAGAATATCTTTCCAGCATAGTTTAAAATGATAAAAATAATCCCCATCCTTACCAAGCTTTTGGTCAGGTTTTTCTGATGAAATAAACCATTCTAAGATAACTTTTGAAGTTACTTTGCTAATTTTACTATTGAGCTTGCCTTCAACTAGGGCTTAGGCGATTTGCTAATTTGGAAGGTTGTTGGGACCAGTAAACTCAGTACA